CCCTAAAAATCAAAAAAAAAAAAAAAAAAAAAAAAAAAAAACAAGTTATTGAAAACTCTCATCTTCAGGGTACCAATATCGGTTATATATCCAAAGTGAATCAGCAGAAACAGGTTCGTTGTCATGGTTGCGATGCCATGTATAATATGCATGAGTTCGATTCTTTATTTCAAGAATTGCATGCCCAAAGCTTGCCTCCCTAAACGCGGAGTAACTTGGTTGTGGCTCCGTAAACCTGCGTTCATCATTGGGTTTCAATTTATTCTATCCCGATCAAAGATATGAAGGCATATATATATACTCACTCGTTAGCCAGGCCTTCAATATTCCCGCCGTCGCCGATGGTTATGTAGATCGGTGCGTTAATGTCTCTAACTGGACTGCATAATCTATTCGTTATATTGTATCTCACGTTCGACACTCGCTCCTACCAGAAACAAACAATCAAGTCCATTCAATATTTTTATCAAATACCCATCTCACAAAATTGTCAAAACAAATCACTTCAAGCAGCAATCCATAAGAACAAGAAGAGAAAGGAAGAAGGTTAAAATACCGAACGCTCATAAGCATGGATATGGCCAGAAAGAACAAGATCAACTTTGTTCTGAATAAACCATGATTCAAACATGACCCTCATGCTCTCTCCTTCCATATAATGGTAATTGTAACTATTATACCAAGGAGCATGAAGCATAACAATCAACCATGGAGTCTCATCTCTCTTCACCTTCTTAAACTCCTTCTGTAGCCACTCGTATTGTGGAGTATATTTGCCTGAAAGATCAATAAAACTTCATCCTTATCTCTATTTTAGACAGTAATTGAATACCCAGATCACAGATTAATGAGCACACACACCATAAGCTGAGTAAGAAGAAAGGACTATAATGTAGGCAGATGCACGCTTGATCGAATACCAGAGTGGGGATGTGCTTTGCGCAGTTTTATAAGGAACGTGATACCGATGCGTATAAGGTTTAAAAGGGGTGTTTTCTCCCTGAAACAATCAAATCAAATTAGCTTCAAATTTCAAGTAGAAATAGATATAAATATTGTTCTCTGTTCTTACAATTTGTGGAGCAAAATCTATTTCGTGGTTACCGGCTGTCCAAATCCATGGCTGATACGCAGTGCTCTTCTCCACAAATCGACCCCATGTATCCCACTTCCTATTGTCGTGAAACGGATGATTATCGGCGTATGAAAGGTCTCCGGCGAACAGAACCGCTTGTCCCTTCGGATTTGAATAATAATGCTCAAACGTTTGGTTCGAATCATAAGTCTGTCCAAGATCGCCTGCAGTGATAATGTCAATACTGACCCTGATTTATTAAAACAGAGAATGCGATCGAATCACATACGAGAGAAGAAAAACACAACGAACTGTTACCAATGATGCCGAATGTGTACGGAACATCTGGATCGACCCTGGGAGGCGTTGTGAAGAAAAACCGACGCGTTGCATTGCCACTTCCAAGCTCGTAGAAGTATTTAGTGTCGTACTACAACGCAATTTCCGAATCAATTTCAGGACCAGAAAATACGGATAGAGCATAGGGTTTAAAAATCAGAGCCAGAACAAACCTCAAGATTGTTTATGGTGGCGTGGTGGATGAATGCAGAAGTGTAATTATAATATTTGTAAGTGGTGATTCTGGAATGTGCTTTATTGCGGCGATTCCCGTCCCCATCCGCCGCCCAATATCTGACAACAGTAGGTTTGGGCGACAATGGCGTCACCCACGAAATTATAACGCCTCTGCCATGGCGATCTCCCTGTGTAATGTGAACCTGCAAATCCATCAAAACAATGAAAACCAGTTGAAAATCAATAGTATCTGAAATCCTGAAGATCAAAGAAATTGATCAGGCGATACCTGTTCGGGTGCGTTGTAACCGGCGGGCGGGGGGAAAGCTTCTGCAGGCATATCCACAGAAGCTTCAAGTTTCCGCATGAATTTACTGGTAATACCTCCATTGCAGAGATTGGCGAGAGAGATCGAGAGAAGCAGAACTATAAACTGTGAAATCGCTGCCATGGCGAGGGATTCGAAAGGGTTTTGAGAGGGAAATGAAGTAATTATTTTAGGTTTTATAGATATAGAAATGGACAGGCGGTTTCTTATGCGCGTAGAAATTTTCGTTTTCCGTTCTGATATCAAATTACCAGTTCAGCAAAATTCAAACAAATAAATTCGGTTGAAATTTAATTTCTTTAATTTAACTAAATATATCTAACTCTAACGCATCAAACTCAAATTCATGGGGCTTCATAAATTTTTTCTTTTTAAGATAAACTATTAATACAATAAATTTAAATCTTAATATAAAATATAATAAATCTACTGATAAAATTTTAATATTTCATGTTTCTTAGAAAATAAATAAATTATTTAAAGAATTAAATTTTATATAATAAATATAAAGATGAAGTGAAAAGGGGACTGAAGCATTCCCGACGTGAAAATCTATTTGAATATATTTTATATAGCGGTCGTAATCATGGATTTTATATTTGATATATTTGATCTCATTTTCAATATTTGGTTAAGTAGAATATTTTGTTTTTTATGATTTAGTTTGTAGATTTTCGATCCCACCTATGTTTATTGGATTTTTCATCCCACTTTTGTTTCTCTATCAGTATCATTGTTAACAAAATCTCTCTCCAGTAGATACGTTCTAAACTTTGAAGCGAATGTTCAAATAGAATAATATTTGCTAACGATGAGCTTAGGCGAGAGATACATTTTATAACATTTGGACCCCCTTCCTCGTATTTGGGTGCTTGGGTATCCACCGTAAGCATTTCTTCGTTTGAATCCTGCCCTTAACTTTAAGGCTATGCCATTCTAAGGTGCTGCTAAATGGAAGGATCTTGTCAACGTCCATGAATGATAAATCATAGATCGAACTGCCGACATTAACTGTGGAAGAGCGAAGGAAATTTATTAATCAATTAAATCAATCACACATTTTTTTTTAGTGCATATTAAATTTATTAATTTATTAATAGAGAAACTGAAAATGATTGTTTATAACATGACAAATATAGGAAATCTGTCACACATTTTAAATTATATGAATATATTTAATACATATGATATTTATTTTTTGCATATAAAATAAAATAAAAAATTAGAAAGAAATTTGGTCAAAATGAAGAGGGGACATAGGTTGGTCCATGAAAACCCCAATTTGTGTGGCTAATAATGGTCACTCTTGATCAGCCATTCAAAGTGGCCTCTATCATTATTCACGCCATAATTAAAACAATATATATATATATATATATAATTTTGATCGAGTTTGGAGTCGGGCGGCTAATGTTATTTTCTGTTTTTATTATTTAAAGTAATGATATTTAAATTGAAACTATTATATTAATTTCTCTTGTCGTTATTTGAATTAGAATCATGGTCACCTTTTGTATAAGATAAGGTTTTTTAGACATCGTACTAATTAATAATTATATTAATTTTAATTATATCAAAAAAAATTATTTTAATTGAGCGTCTAGATTTTTAAAAAAATATGCACATTTGTGAGTTTTAAATTACGAACCTAAATTAATTCTTTCAAACATAATTTAAACAAATTCTTTAAGAGTAGAATCTGATAAATAATATAAATTAATACACTTGTAAAGTTGATAATTTAACTTACTTTATAATTTTTATTATACTATATTCTAAATTTATAGGTATAAATTGATTTAAATGCTGGGTGAATAATTATTAAAATAGAGTGGAAAATGTGTAAAAAATAAAAAGAAAAAGAAAATTAGGCCCCAACAAGAACTTGTAGGTAACACATGAACGAAAAGACATTTCTAGCCTCTATCTACGGAATATTAATCTCCTATATTTATATATAGCGATTCATTTTGAGCACGTGGCCTAAAAACAAGGGATTAATTTTAAATTATTAAAAATAACAAAAAAAATTTTAAATGTGAACTTAATTTTTTATTTTTTAGTTTTGAGTTTTCCCGCGTAATCCAAAAGAAAAAAAAATCTCACGTTGCATGGAATTTAATTTGAAAGCGGTCCATTAACTGGGGGTGGCAAAATCGTGATTAATGACAAAGTTAAGGTCCATTTGTGTGTAAAAAAAGCATTTCTAGTTGCTTATTTAAAGGAGAAATTCGCGGTGTGATTAAAATCCGTTTCGTGCGTCGGTTTTCTCAGAGATTCGTAAAAAGTAAGGGAATAATGGCAGCCGCAGCAGAGGGACGAGTCATTCGCTGTAACACCATTGATTCATGGAACCAACAAATTCAGAAGGGCAATGCCTCTGAGGAGCTGGTAAGCACCGTTTCAATTCTATTCGATAATATGCTCCTCATTTCAATTGGATATATGATCATAATTGATTGTCTTTTCGGCTGAACAATGGCGGAGTTTTCCTGTTTTTGCATTATTTGATTTGATCTGGAGTCTGTTGTGATTCTAAATGATATACATATGCGCGATGAACTTAAGTTTTTCATTCTTTGATCTTTTTTCTTTGCTTTTGTGATATGGTAGAAAAAGTAGTGTTTCGAATCTTTCGTGCTTCACTTTTCTTTATTCAACAATCAATCTCATTGTTGTCTCCCACTTATTGCTTTCCACAGCGAACAAATTGGATACATGTTTTAGTAGATCTTAGATCATTATACGAAGCCACCCAACCAATCCAATCCTTGACTACATTTCGCCACCAATCATTTTCTCGCCAGAATAGTTCCTATTTTAATGTAGTAGGGAATAAACCAATTATTGAGTTCTTGACACTTGAACTTAGTTACTGTTCGTGTCATATAGTTCGCTTTTGCTCATGAGTGCTGAAACTGATGCAGATAGTTGTGGATTTCTCTGCATCATGGTGCGGTCCATGTCGGTTCATTGAACCTTTTCTAAACCAGCTTGCTCAAAAATTTCCCACTGTCACATTTCTAAAGGTTGATGTGGATGACCTTGAGGTACTGTAGATTATAATTTATGAGTACCTCTCCTGCTTTCTCTTGTAAAAGTGTGTTGATTGGTGCAGTCTGTAGCTAAGGATTGGGGGGTGGAGGCAATGCCTACTTTCATGTTCCTGAAAGAGGGAAGAATTGTGGACAAAGTGGTTGGAGCTAAGAAGGAAGAACTGCAGCAGACTGTATTCAAGCATATGTCTGCTACTGCTTCTGCTTGATACTCAATCATGGACGATTGGGCTCTGTAGTAGGATATAAAGGACTTTACTATACTAGGAAACCGCCATAATTTTCAATTCTTGGTTACCAACTCCTATCCGCTTGCTTTGTTATTACGAGTGAACATGGTGTATTCTCCCTTTAGAAGTGGCTTTTATTGCTTGTCTTTTCTTCTTCCTTATAAGTGAAAAACATTGTCATTTTTGCATTACTTTAATTGGGATTTGGAATCTGATATTCAAGTGAGCCATTACTTGGACTCGTGAGCACTAATTTTCTCCATAAAGCTGAAAGGAAAAGAAATTGATTTCTTTAGGAGGAAGATTTGTTTAACATATCTTATTAGATTGTTCTGAATTTGCACCCTTTGTTAAATTCGATTAGACAGTAAAGTCGTGCATTTTGGAATGAAATTATACCCTACTCCATAACTGGAGGAATCTGAACCTTAGGATCTTATCATATCCTATGCAAAAAGGTTCCACTCAAACAAAAGGAAACGGATCCTAAGTGGGGTTGATTTTTTCCCCCAATATAACAAACTGAAATAAATTACAGGATATAATAAATTAACTATTTCTTCTCAAGACCCATTTCCAGTAAAAATGCCAGGAATGGGAATTGAAACACAACCTCAGGGCCTTAGATTGCAGAACCCCGGGGATTACAAACTTTACGACCTATACCTAAGAATCTATTGCCTTCGGCACCACACACATCCTTGAAGAAAAATCGACTCAAAATGAAAATCAAATCATCAGACACAACTTGAAAAAGTACTCCTGTACCTATTATCCTTCTGCTTGCTCTTGTTACTGGTAGTTGGAAGTTTAAGTCACTGAATGCCACCCTTCATAGGCAGCTAAATCCTCCTCTTTTCAGCCAACTCAATCAACCCTTCCAATTGGTTTCTGCAGCCGTAATTGTCGGAGCACATACAGCTTCAACCGATAGTCGCTTCAACACATTTGGGCATGGATCTTTCCCAAAGTTAGTATTGGATATGGTAACGGCACATCTTTGCTTCCCTATGCAGCTCTGTAGAAAGAGAGATGAAAATATGAGGTGGGATTTATATATAGACAATGAAACAAAAAGCAAAAATGGATCTTAGTTTTCCCACCTTCTCTAGAGTGTCGTACGACATAGGAGCATGGCAAGTTCCTTGCTGGTAGCTCCCGCAGGTTCCTAATGGTGTTCCAAAGCTTGCAAATTTGATTGAAGTTATGGAATAACCTACAGAACACTTAAGATGAACTTTGGGTCTATGTAAATCCTCCGACTTTTCATAGCTTTCAATGTGCCAATTCTTAAGAGTTGGATGGTATTCAGAGACATCAGCACAGACACTAGTCACTGATCTCTTCACCAAACTGATGCTTGTGGGATTACCTCCAAGTTCCTCAAAGACTACTAACAGATTGTCTTTTGGCTTCAACCAAGCACGAGGCACATGGTACCTGAAAATGAAATATAGCTGGGTTCTGTAAAAGAAATTCATTCTTCAATATTGATGAGCTTTTCCCTAATGAGAAGAAGTTACCATCTTTGTGTTGGCTGGCCACAGCCTTGCTGACACTTGAGAGGTCTAAAGCTTCCAGCATAATTGCACTTCTCACAGTTACCAGTGGCATATGCAGTCCAGTATCTTCCAATGCTATGTCCATTAATCCATATTTGACCCTTCCCCATTCCCTGCATGTCTAAAGCCAATGGCTCATCTCCTTCAGGGGCATCAAAGTTACTCTGCAAGTGAAATGTGAGGTTGATATTTTTAAGAGTCATCTCAACTTTCTTTGTAAAATCAAGTTGAATTTCGGGTCAAGAGGTACCTTGTGCCAAGTCAGTGGTTGCGGTGCTTGTGCAGCCAAAGATCCTTTCATCCATTCGACTGAAGAAATACTGTTTGGAGATCTAAGATTCATGGCTTCTCCTTTCAGCCCAACCTATTTTAGTACGTAGAGAGTGAGGTAAAGTTTGTGGGAGATGAAATCATAACAATTGAGAAATTTGAGTAAGTGATCAAACCTTGTAGGTCCATTTTGCCCAGGATAAGTCCAATTTTCCTTGATCAAGTCCATGAAGAGCAACTGGACCTAGGATTCCGGTGTTCCATGTCTCATAGTGCCCCCCAACATTCTTCAATAACAACAATTCAAAATGTGAAATTAGCAACAAATGGATGTGTAGGGTGGGGATCCAAAAGAAATACTATTGGAAGTTAAGGGGCCATTTGGAAAATACTTGGAAAGCAATTGTCTATTTTTGTTTTCAATACTGTATTTTGAAAATTGTGATCGAGTGGCTTGTAAAATAGCTCAGATTGTACAAGTTCTCCAAGCTTAATTTAAGCACCCCAACATCTTGGGGAGTGATCAAGAGAATTCATGCCTTTATAGTTTTAGTATGAAAAGCTACATGGGAACCCCTTTCAAGACTAACTTCAGCATCAATTAAATGGGCTATGTAAAATGAGGGAATAAAACTCACTGGCAATCCCACAGCAACACTCAGGAGTGCAATTGTGTTTCGTCCAGCATGAAAATCGACTTTGCCAGTATAAGTGAATCTCCGATTTTCTCTCGACCCAAATGCAGAACCTGATAAACGACCGATAGTTATTAAAATTTCCTGCTTTCTTCATGAGAGGTGGCATCAAAGAAGAATGAAATAGTACTATACCTGAAAGCCTCCCATTAATAAAGATATGCACAGCATGGCCACTTGACAGAACAATCAGTGTGGGGAGTTCTCCACCATGCAGGAAGGATTCTGTTGAACCAATATCTACACTGAAGGGACATTGGAAAGGAAAATATTAGGTTCCCTAGCATCAGAAAACCTGAGCTAACCTCAAAGGCAAAACATCGCCTAAGCAAACTTTCATGGTTTCTATTTGATCAAAGATTAGTCTATTTGATTATATTTCCACCCCCCAAAATTCTTCTAGGCTTTTTGTGATTTAGAAGATCAGATGACAAGATGATCGGTAAGTTAGACTCCCAACGATTTTTATCCACATAATTGGATGAAGAAAGATGAAGTATAAAGTAATTCATTATCAAATTGTAAGCAAGCAAGAGTCTGACCAGTACAAAGTGGTCTCACCTAGTAATATACCATAGGTAGTCACTAGTATCCTTGGTAACATTTATCTGTTCCAGTAAACCAGAAGTAGTCATTGTTGCTGTGCTATCATCCTCAGCAGAAATGTCTTCGTTGTAGCTTTCCCATAAGAACACAGGAGAGTTTGTTGGTAGCATTTCGAGTTGTGATGTTTGAACTCCAACCTGGGAAACAAGTAAATAACAAAGCAAGGTGAGCCGGAACCAGATCCAGAAGTCTTGGCACTAGCTAAACTAAAAGCAAGGAATTTTTTTCAAACCTTTGCTGTATTGAAGACTACGTTTCTACAATCAGGAAGGATACTGATGGACCATGGAGGCAAACTATAGTGCACGTTATTGAACATCACTTTTGCAGCTGAATTTGTGTCATAATTTGAAAGAAAGGCTGTACAATCTCCTGATTCTGATGTGTAAACATAAGCCTGGAAATGTTGAATGTCGAGTCTCAGTAACTCTGATTATGCTTAGATGATGAGAGCCAAGAGAATCACAGACTACAAGTAAAAAAAAAACCTGTTGAGAGCTCCCTAGAGAAGTCACAACTGGATCTGCTGAAACTAAAGCTTTTTCGCACATCTTCACCACCCTATGAAGCTCCTTCAAATGACCGTATTTTGGCTGCCTAATCAAACCTATCATCGTTTTTGAACAAAGAGGTCAATGTAAATATTCCAAAGTATCAATAGCATAGGAACAGCACTATATCCATTTTTATCATATTTTCTAACTTTCTTTAACCAGCCATGTTACATCCACAAGGTCTAATGTGTGAATAAATAATGTGCCTTTTTAGCAGTCATGAGCACAATCCCTTTGGTTTTTATGCATGTCCGGAAAATTATCTTGAATAAGTGACATTCAACTCTCACCATATTCATCAATTGGAGCATCATAGTCATAGCTGGTAGTGATAAAAGGTCCTCCTGCTGTGCGTCCAAAGTTTGTCCCTCCATGGTACTGTCATACAACGAGATGAGAATTTTATAGGATAATAATTTACAAAAAAGTAGTGCTTGTGTCACAGAAAACCAACCATGTAATAGTTAATAAAAGATCCTCCTTTTTGAATGAACCGAGCAACGGCAAATGCCAAATCTTGAACTGGCCTCTGGTGAATTGGACCCCCGAACTCATTAAACCTTCAGGTTTGTCAAAGGCAAATCAGCAAAAATGAGGAACTTTCAGATGATCAATAATGAGATAAGAGAGTCTGTTACAAACCAGCCACTCCATGCCTCTGTCCACATTGTAGGTTTGTAGGGTTTATTGGGAGAGAATGTATCGCAATAAAAGCCATTGCATGTATTAATCTGTCACAAGACAAAACCAGAGTTTCATAGACAAGCTTTTGTCTTTGCTTGAGACTGAGTTCCAAGCTAAATAGCTATAGCAGAACAACAATGAACCCCATTTCAAAAATTTGAGTAACATAGAGAAGAGAAGTGCTCACCACTGGATCTGGGGCATCCTCTTCCTTGCACATCACCCATGGGACTCCAGTATCCAGTCCTACAGCCATCTTTGCCGCCCAGGTCATGTAATTTTTCCCAGCAGCCCCAAATAACTTGCTCTGTACTCCATATTCATTCTCAATCTACAATATCAAAAACCCATTTTATCGTTGCCATAATTTCAATCATTCTAGTTCCAATTAGAGCTATTCTTCAAAAGAAAGAATTAGGACCTTTTATGTTCTTTGATTATCTTGCCAAGTAAGAAATGAAAACTAGAAATCAGTACCTGAGAGAGAATGATGGGGCCACCTTGAGACTCAAACAACTTTTCACTTTTCATCATCCCCACAATTTTTTCTGTAAATCCCTGCATTGCTTTCTGTAACACCAAGAGTGATTTAGAGGGGTTTTCCATAAACTCTGGGCAAAACTAATAAAACATCCCAATGGCTATTAAAAGTAATGCATTTCCCCTTTTACTTTAGCTTTTAGCATATCGATTAAAGAGGCGTGCATATGCAAATACCTTGAAAGGTTCATTATCAGTTCTGAAACTTATGCCTGGGACATACTTCAGCCAAACAGGAAACCCTCTGCAGGAAGCGTTATAGATTAGAACAAGGGAAAATGTTGGTGCGAAGTCAAGCTTCTCGTTGAGAAGAGCCAAA